GGGGTGGGGGGGGGGGGGGAGACGGGGGGGGGGGTGGGGGGCCCCCCCCGGAGCCGCCGGTCCCTGCCCTCTGGTGTCCTGGCGTCCCCTGAGCTGAGCTGAGCTGAGCTGAGCTGAGCTGCAACGGACGGCGGGCTGTAGGTGGCGGTTCTGGGAATGTCTGTGTGCGAGCTGTCATTCTCCCGCAGGCAGCGATTGTTGCGGGTGTTAATGCAGTATAGTTTTAATTTTTTTCCTTTGTAATGTTTCCTTACGTAGGTGAGAAGAAACTCGGTACGGTAATCACTCCCGATACGTGGAAAGATGGTGCAAGAAACACTACAGGTAATCTTGGGGAGGTTTAACGCTTGTTTTTCAGGCATCTTAAAGCCAGTTGGGCACCTGAGCTATCTTACAATCTTAAGGCTAAAATTTGTAAGAGTTAATCAGGATAATTTTTAATTGCTGTAGTTTTCTTTCTATGCTAATTTAATGCATTGGGAATGTATTTGTCCTGAGCTTTTCAGTATTGAGCTTGTCTGGTTTTTTTTCTCCTTGTATGGAATGACAATACACAAACAGAGCACAGTAGAAGGAATCCTGCTGTCCTGTGCTTTAATGCTGTCTTACATGTTTTACCTCTTTTTCTGGCTTCATTTGTACATGTGTAAAACCTGTAAACCAAGGTTTTTTAAGTATGTTTGGAACTGGGAAATTTATTGGTTTATGGTTTTATTCTTTTCGTAGAAAGTGGTGGCCGCAAGTTAAATGAAAACAAGGCATTGACCTCAAAGAAGGCACGGTTAGTATTTGATACTGATTTTGGCCAAAAAAAATTTGCTGTAACCAAGGCCTGTTTCCTGCATATTTGGGCAACTGTTCAAAACTTGTCCAAAATACTTTTTTTTTTTTTTTTTAATTTGTGGGGATTGTGACATTTGATTAGTTGGTAAAAGTATGTCCATACATATATCATGGGTGCTTTCTGCTGAATCATAGACTCTGGGCAACTATTTTACTGTAGTTCTTACCAAAATTGCTAGAGTTTGATGCTTTTGTTAGGAAAGAAGCCGGGAAGGCTTATTTTCTGTGCTAAGATTGCTTTTCCTTAATGTCCAGGAGACATTCTATTATGCAAGGGGGCAAGGTGCTGCTGGAAGGTGTTTAAGTTCAAAATAGTCCAGTACCTTAATAAAAAGACACATTTTTAGTTCTGCTTTTGTTAAGTTTTTGTCTGTAATGCAAGAAGTCTCTCTTAATGGCAAAAGTGGGAGTTTTTCTGTAGACTTTGTGCAGCCTATTAGAAATAATCCTTGTATGTCCCTTTTCTAAATTATAGTTTTTGTCTGTACACTCTGGGTTAGACATTTCAGGATGAGGTAGAGGAAATACTTTATTTCAAGGTGTATAAATAAAATACTTTTGCTTTTTCCCAGGTTTGATCCTTATGGAAAGAACAAATTTGCAATATGTCGGATTTGTAAGAGTTCTGTCCATCAGCCAGGGTCTCACTATTGTCAAGGATGTGCCTATAAAAAAGGTGAATTTCACTGAGTGCCAAATTACCCCAGTTTGGTTTGAAATTAGAGAGCAAGTGGAACTCTTGATTTTGTTTTGCCTTACAAAGAGAAGGGTAAGATGTGATTTAATTGCTATCTTCAATTACTAATAGGAAGGCATAGAAAAGATGGAGTCAGACCCTTCTGAGGTGCACAGTAATAGAAGAAGAGACAATGTGGGTTAGAATATGGAAAATTCTAATTACATACAAGGAAAGCAGTTTTCACTGTGAGGGTGGTCAAATATTGTAATAACAGGGACCCATAGAGGTTGTGGAATCTCTACAGGAGGTATTCAGAGCTTGACTTGAAAAGCCCTGAGCCAGACTCATCCAAGTTGGCCATGTTTTGAGTGGGGCAGGGGCAGGACTAGTGACTGCTGGAGATCCTTTCCAACCTAATTCATTCTATGATTCTGCTTCTTTTAGAATGTTACTGGTATCTAAAACAGTATAATTGGAAGAATAACTGTAAGCTTAATCTTGGAAATTGCATAGAAAACTGTCATCTAGCAGTTTTTCTGATTTTTATTAGTTCTAAAAAAAAAATTAGGTTTTGTAAAATACAGTTACTTGTTGCAGTCCCTTTTCTACTCCCTTCTCCCCTCTCCCCTTCTTATAATAGCTAAATCTAAATAGTGGTCTCAGAAAAAAACAGCAACAAAACCACCCACCCAAAAAACCACCCCTCACCCTGCCAAACCACAAAACAAACACCCCACACCTATCCACCCTCCCCCAAAACCCACAAAATGACCAAAAATCCAACTTCTGATCTTGGTACAGTGATAGGCTAGCTTAACAAAAGTAGAATATGTGGGCAATAAAAGGCAAAGAGAAAAAAATAAATAAAAGCAATTAAGAAAGTATGTCTGAAGGCAAATTATGCTTATGGTTGTCTTTGTGCCTGCATGTATTCTTATGCATTCAGTGGCTTAACATAAGCCATTGAAAGGTTAATTTCTCTGAAAGGAGTCTCTGGTCCAGTTGGGAACATGCTTGATGCATTGTAAGTCAAGCTTGGCTTAAGGCAAAAATGAAAAATGAAAAAGAATAACATAATCATCATCCCTAGAAAGCAAGATACTGCACTGTGCAGTGCATAATATATAAAACCTTTTTCTACTTATGTATGAATGACTGCACTGAAATTCTGCTTCTACCTGGAAGCTTTCTATCTCCTATATTCATAATAAGTCTTCAGTATTGTTAAAAACTGTTCAAAAATTCCTGAGGGAAAAAGAATGAATTTCAAGCAAATTTGATGGAGAGCCTTAAGGATAGAAAACTTTTACTAGTCTTGTGATTTTGAGTAGGTAAGCAAAAGGGCTCAAACTTGTAATTCCGGGGGGGGGGGGGGGGGGGAGAA